ATGTGCCAGATACTGGGTATCCGGAAAACTCGAACAACGGCTCTTCATCCCCAATCAGATGGCATGGTAGGGCGGTTCAACCGAACCCTGGAAGAGCATTTGCGGAAGGTCGTGGACAAAACTCAGAAAGATTGGGATGTGCGCATACCCCTGTTCCTGATGGGATACCGGTCAGCAGTTCATGAAACAACGGGCAAAACTCCTGCAAGGGTAATCTTCGGCAGTGAGCTCCGTTTGCTTAGTGACCTGAAGTTTGGAGTAACTGGCGATGCAAGGAGAATTGGGACAGAGACGTCCAACATCCTGGAAGAGGAGTTAAGAGAAATACATGCTCTTGTGAGGCAGCGAGCTCAATTATGAGTGACAAGATGAAGGCCAGATATGATAAGGCAATGTACTCCGAGGGTTTCCAAGAGGGAGACTTAGTGTTGCTGTACAATCCACAACGGAAGAAAGGTTTGTCCCCAAAACTACAATGCAACTGGGAAGGTCCGTATAAGGTCGTCAAACGGCTGAATGACGTAGTGTATCGAATCCAGACCATTGGGAGACCAAGAAACAAGATCAAGGTGGTCCACTTGGAAAGGCTTGCAGCGTTTGGAACAGCAAGTGTGTCTGATCGGGACGACCAGACTTAGGTGGAGGGCAGTGTAACGAATACTGCGGCAATGCGAAGCGAACAACGAGAAATAGGCAGAATGTTCGAGGAATGACGTAGAATGTTCCATAAAGAGAAACGTCAAGTTGGATGAACACTGCGAACAGCGAGAGAAAGAGAATGAGCGATAAACTTCAGAACGTTCTAGAGTTGCCATAAGTACGAGCGCAGGTATATAAGGCCGCCGCCACAGCGAAGTGGGTCAGATACAAGTCAGCAAGCTACAAGTAAAGTGAGCAGAGAAGTGAGTTGCGAATAAGCAAGCTATAAGTTTAATTGTGTTAACAAGTTTAGTAAAGCATTGTTATTGCTTTAACAAGTATTGTAAAGTGTTTCTACTGTATTAGCAAGTATTGTAAATTGTTTGTTGTACAATAAAGTTAATTGTACTACAATTTGGTCATCGTTAGCATTTATTTAATCCAGCGATACGAGCCGTAGGATATTTGGGAAATCCCTCAAGGTTTCGAGAATAATCGTAACAATAATATTTTTTCTTTAATTTCTGGTGTTTGCTTTTCAAATCTGGCGGTAACCCTTGGTTTTGTTGTATACCTCTGTCCAATTTCGGCTTAGATACTCAACCTTCCGGACTGAAAACATCAATACCACAATGTTATGTGTGCTTTTGCACAAACGACAAGGATTTCTAGGCATTTTTTCTTTAGTTTTTTATTCAAATGAAAAAAATACATAAGTTCTCACTCAAAAGGGTTAACGTGAAAGTCAAATCAAAGAAAATTTTCTGATAATAAATTGTCAAATAAGAGTACCGGAATAGAATCACATTGCTATCTGGCACACTTTATATTAGTTTGTTCTTTTACAAATTATCCAGTAACTTGCCAGTAACTCTCCAGTAACTGAATTTCTGAGAAGTCGCTCTCTTAGTACAAAAGTACAAGAACGCAAAACCAGTAATAATTTGCAAGTTTTACGAACAGCTGATTAATTTGTTGTTTTTCGCATATATATTATATTAAAATAGGTTTATTTTGTCAATTTCAACTATAAAAACCTCATAAACATTTCTTTTATTAGTTTCAATTCCACCCAGCAACATGCGATCAGCTGTTTTTCTCGCTTGCAAGATCTTACTAGCAAAAATTTATCCAGTAAAAAGTAGCCACTTCTCCTCAAAAAGAAATGTCACTTTGCGCTCTCAATTTCCCCTTTCTTACAAGTTTTTGGGGTACAAGAACACCAAAACGTGATAGTACAAACTGCTACGAACTATCGCGTACAAGAACGCTACTATTTTTTCAGTATGACTATATCCAGCGTAATATAACCAGTAAACAACCTAGGGTGAATTTGTCGACTGCCTTCCTCGGGGATGAATATGCCAGGGATGAAATTATTGGTACACACGCCTTCAAAGCACGCAGGGTTGCTTTTGAGAAACATAAATAATTAGCTCAAAGTAGTTTCAAACAATATAGTGTAAAACGAAATTTATTGAATAATTCTACATAAAATTATATACGTAAATGACTCACTATGTAAACTATTCGAATACAACTTGTTTCATTACCTTTTTTGTGCAAAATGATAATGACTATCTGAACGCTCGGAGCGCTGCCACTAAAATGAGAAACTACAAAAAAATAATGCTCTGGTGCTACTTGTCGTGGTTAATATATATTTCTATTTATTTTCTTCTGTTTACGCGAAATACAATCTGGTAGTAATTTTCATTGAATTTTTTCAAGAATCTTTACTTTTTATGCTTTTGTTTTATAATTCCACGAATTTTATATGTTAGCAAGAACAAGGGATATGGCGGAGGAATGCTTTTTAAGCATCTTGGCGATGAGCTGTTTACCTTCTGGATATTTGCAATCTCATTTGCAAAAGGTATGTATACGAAATATTTTTTATTGAGTGAATTTTAAACTAAAGGAACTAACTACTTTTATGTAATTATTGTAGATATGACACACACACTGCCACTTTAAGGTATTTCTTTTCTGAGGAATTATGTAGCAAAACGAAGAGGAGCCGTGCAAAATTTCGGGCAGCTGTTTCTTGCAAGTTCATGGGTACGAAGGTCGATGAGGGTCAATGTTCTGCAACATGAACCAATGTCATTAGTGTACGGTGATGACGATGTTGTGAAATTAGGTTGGCTAGGATTCCAACAATGAAATGATGAAAAACATCCTCATCGAATACGATATAGCTCTATTTTATGTTGCTGTACATAATTTTTTTAGATTTTAGCATCTATATAATTGGATTCATCTTATGCATTTGTTTAATTACCATTATAATTACCATTTATAATAGTGGTATTCATCTAAACCGATAACTTTATCAAGCAGATAATCTTATAAAATTACGCACTCTGTTACATGAACGACCCACACTATCTTTTCGTTTACACATGCAACAATAGTCGTGGTTTCTTTGGTTATAGAGCTCAGTATCACTAACTTTATATTACTAGCACGAGGAAAAAGAAATTTTAGAAACTAAAACTATGTTCACATATCAATATTATCTCAATCAAAGCTAGTTTTTTAATCACCCCGTTTACACAGGCAAATCTCAGATTATTAGCCGTCAAATTTGTTGTGCTTGTTATTCCCACATCTCAAGGAAAATTTATGTTTCTTCTCTGTGCCACCGTTATCACGTTTTTCTGCTATAATAAGCAATATAAATATATTTTAACTTAACATTTTATTAAAAATACCTTTACAAACCTCTTTTACTTGCTAGCGTACATTTTTGTTTACTTTTACATTTGGCATTTCTCCTCTCTTTCGCAAAAACAATCGATAAAACTAGGATGGACACCGAAAAGTTATCGGTTAAATCTGAGATTATTTTATAATTACAGATTAACAAGGGACGAATTTTATACGGCTAATCTCTTGTTATAATTACAGATTAGGGTGTTAAGCTCGAAAATGAGGATAATCTACTTATATGTGAACCTAGTATAACTCACTAAATGGGAAAAATTATATTTACGAGATAATATCTGTTTAAATAAATATACATATAACATAAAGTCTATTTATTTGAAGCAAGTTAGAAGAAACAATGGCAGAATGTCTGTTTGTGTATGAATTCATTTGTCAGGGCTACCAAACTTTGCGGCCAAATTATCA